GAGAGTTAGTGGGAGGAAAAACAAGTTTATTTGGAGAGCCAGCAAACAGAGAACATAGTGGACTATCATCCTAAAGTACCATCTTAAATTGGATCATATTTTTATTTTTTTTATATTTAGGGCAGAGGGAAGAGAAGGGCATTGTGATTAAGAGTGACCAACAAGCCAGGCGCAGTGGCTCACACCAATCCCAGCACTTTGGGAGGCTGAGGCAGTAGGATCACTTGAGTCCACGATTACAAGACCGGCCAGGGCAATGTAGTGAGACCACCGTCTCTACAAAAATTAAATAAAATTTAAAAACTAGCTGGGCATGGTGGCATGCACCTAGAGTCCCAGCTAGTTGGTAGGCTGAGGCAGAAGGATCACTTGAGCCCAGGAGGTAGAGGCTATAGTCCCAGTTTCTAGCTCCGTAAAAACATAATAAAAATAAGATGGCCACTGAAGACATCTGGGTGCCAGCTAGGATCCGAGGGTCCGAGGTTGACCAAGGGTCCAAGGTGACAAAGAAGTCACCAATCTCCTCGGACCCTAGCTGGCACCTAGATGTCTGCAGTGGTCACAGTGCTCCTATAAATCTTTGACAAAACATAGTTGTTATACTTCTTTAATCCCAGAGTTTGTTTTAAAAACTACATGATTGCTGGTTTTGCATATTATCTAAGCGCTCTAAAATTATCCTAGCCTTCGTGCAGGAATGAGTAAAGTCCCCTTAAACAAAAATGGGGTTAGTTCTGCTAGTTCTTTTGCCGTTTCACTGTTACAGGTCTTCAGTTTGCTATGGTCATATACATAAAGCGCTTAGCCTGACACAAGTGCACGCCAGACAGAAGCCGTGATCAGTGATCCTGATGGGGTCAGAGTCAGGCCAAGGGTCTTTTGCCTAAGCAGGAAAGATGGGGAGAGGCCCAGGATCAGAGAGGGAACTGGGTCCCTAGTTGCCCATGGACCTAATGGGATCTCTCCAGCTGCAGGGGCCTTGCGCCCCGGGAGGGAAGGTACAGAGGGGGTGGCCTAGCTGCGCTGACCCGCCTACCGACACTTCTCGACCTGCAGGACGCCAACTGCTGGAGATGGGCGCCCGGCCCTCGCGGCGGCAGCCACGGCTGCCAGCGGACCCGCCCCTGGCCCTGGACGCGCTGCCCCCGGAGCTGCTGGTGCAGGTGCTGAGCCACGTGCCGCCACGCGCCTTGGTTACGCGATGCCGCCCAGTGTGCCGCGCCTGGCGCGACGTGGTGGACGGGCCCACAGTGTGGCTGCTGCAGCTGGCCCGCGACCGCAGCGCGGAGGGCCGCGCACTCTATGCAGTGGTCCAGCGCTGCCTACCCAGCAACGAGGACGAGGAGGAGTTCCCGCTGTGCGCCCTGGCGCGCTACTGCGTGCGCGCGCCCTTCGGCCGCAACCTCATCTTCAACTCCTGCGGAGAGCGTGAGTGTCGGGGGCGGGGCCCAGGAGGCTGAGTGGGTGGGCGGGGCCGGGATGAGCGAGTCAGGGGCGGGGCTGGGACAGAGTCTTAGAGAGATGTAGCCAATGAGCGGGACCGCTGGAGGACCAGTGGGCGGGGCTAGAGAAGGTGGAGGCTGAGGTGAGCTGCGTACACTGGAGCCTGGCATCCGAACGAGTGGGCGGGGCAAGGCAGGAAGACCTTGATTGGGCCACGGGAGAAAGCGAGTAGTTTGATATGCAGAGGGAATGCAGAACAGTACCGAAGCCAGCCACGGTGGGAATGGCAACACTTTGGGAGGCCAAGGCAGGAGGATCGCTTAAGACCGAGTTCGAGGTTACAGTGAGCAGTGCTAGTGCCATTGCACTACAGCCTGGGTGACAGAGCAAGACTTTTGTCTCAAAAAAAAAAAAAAGGCTGTCGTGGAGGCTCACGCCTGTAATCCCAACATTTTACAAGACTTAGGCGAGTGGATCACGAGGTCAGGAGTTCGAGCTCAGCCTGGCCAGCATGGTGAGACACCCCCTCCCCCCCACCCCGTCTCTACTAAAAATACAAAAAACTGGGCGTGGTGGTGTGTGCCTGTAATCCCAGCTACTTGGGAGGCTGAGTTAGGAGAATTATTTGAACACAGGAGGCAGATGTGGCAGGGAGCCAAGATTGTGCCATTCATTCCAGCCTGGGTGATAGAACGAGACTCTGTCTCAAAAAACAAAAAAGGTGGGGGGGGGCGACGCAGTAGCTCACGCCTGTAATCCCAGCATTTTGGGAGGCTATGGTGGGAGGATTGCTTGAAGCCAGGAGTTCGAGACCAGCCTGGGCAACAAAGTGAAACTCTGTGTCTAAAATATTTAAAAATTAGGCTAGGTGCGGTGGCTCACGCCTGTAATCCCAGCACTTTGAGAGGCTGAGGCCGGTGGATCACCTGAGGTCAGGAATTTCAGGCCAGCCTGACCAACATGGTGAATCCCCATCTCTACTAAAAATACAAAATGAGCTGAGCATGGTGGTGCAAACCTGTAATTCCAGCTACTCAGGAGGCTGAGGCAGGAGAATTGCTTGAAGCCATGAGCTGAGATCACGCCATTGCACTCCAGCCTGGGCAACATGAGCGAAACTTCGTCTCAAAAAAAAAACCTAAAAAATTAGCCAGGTGTGGTGGCATGCACCTGTGGCCCTAGCCACTCCAGAGGCTGATATGGGAGGATCGCTTGAGCCCAGGAGTTTGAGGCTGCAGTGAGCTATGATGGAGCCACTGCATTCCAGCCTGGGCGACAGAGTGAGACCCTGTCTCTCTCCCTCTCTCTCTCTCTCTCTCTCTCTCTCTCCCTCTCTCCTTTCTTTCACACACACACAATGAAGAGCAGGACTGAAGGAGAAAGAGCAAGTAGGGAAGCTGAGGAGAAGCTGAGTCACAGGTGTGGGGTAGGACCAGGAATACAGGTTAATGGGAGGAGTCGGTAGGAGAAGCCAGGGAGGACTGGAGCACCAGAGGGAGAGACTGGTGGACAGCACAAGCTGGGTGGTTGCAGGGTCTCTGCTGGGCAGGCTGGTAGACGAATCTTCTGTTCAACTCTTGTTTTTCCACAGAGGGCTTCAGAGGCTGGGAGGTGGAGCACGGCGGGAACGGCTGGGCCATAGAAAAGAACCTCACACTGGTGCCTGGGGCTCCTTCGCAGACCTGCTTCGTGACCTCTTTCGAGTGAGTGGCCCAAGTGAGTGGTCCTGATCCCTGGGGTAAGGGCCCCAAAGACGGAAAGGGACCCTATCCCTGACACTGTCCTCATCCTCACCTTCGCTCTTTCTCCTTCCCCCATTCATTTATTCATTGATTCATTCCATCAATCAACAAATATTTGTTGAGGGTCCTGTTTTATATGCCAGAGATACAAGGAAAAATCAGGAGGGTTGGCAACCACAGGCAACAATGCTCTGTGCTTCATCGCCTGCAGTTTGTGAGACAACAGCAAGATTGCTTTGATCTAAAGACAGGGTTTGAGGCTGGGCACGGTGGTGGTAATCCCAGCACTTTGGGAGGCCAAGGTGGGCAGATCACTTTACATCAGGAGTTCGAGACCAGCCTGGCCAACAGAGGGAAACCCCATCTCTACTAAAAACACAAAAATTAGCCAGGCATGGTCGTGGGTGCCTGTAATCCCAGCTACTCAGGAGGCTGAGGCAGGAGAATTGCTTGAACCCGGGAGACAGGGCAGAGGTTTCAGTGAGCCAAGATCACAACACCACACTCCAGCCTGGGCAACAGAGGGAGACCCTGTCTCTAAAAAAGAAAGACAGGGTGTTTTCACTTATGTTTTAGTTGTAGAGGTGGGAGAGATGTTAAACACAAACAGTAAAACAACAATGCAACAGACATTTTGGGGGGGTGGTTTCATGAAAGGGGTGTCTATGCAAAACGCAGGGGCAGAGAAACCAAAGAAAGAGGCAGACAAATCCAGTTTGCCGGTAAAGGGTGAATTATTGGGGAACTTACAGACAGAAGCATGGTCTTGGGCCAAAGCAAGACAGGGAGATCTCGGCACTGTTCCTCCTCAGACCCAGGGCTTATATGCCATAGGGAAAGGGTGTACTTATTCCATAAACAATGAAAAAGGCAGGCCGGGTGCTGTGGCTCACACCTGTAATCCCCATGCTTTGGGAGGCCTAGGCAGGCAGATCACTTGAGCCCAGGAGTTCAAGACCAGCCTGGGCCACATGGCAAAAACTCACCTCTACAAACAACACAAAAATTAGCTGGGCATGGTGGCACACACCTATAATCCCAGCTACTTCAGAGGCTGAGGCAGGAGGTTCACTTGAGGCCAGGAGGTTGAGGCTATGGTGAGTTGCGATTGCTCCACTGCACTCCAGCCTGGGTGACAGAGGGAGACCCTACATCCAAAAACAAAACAAAAAACAAAGGCAGCCCTCTAAAACAGGCCAGAATGCTATGTGCGTCACAGACTACAGTGAGGTGACATCAGCTTGCTTTGATCTAAAGGCTGGATTTATACAAGTACATGTTCTTATGCTAAGGAAAGTAAATAAAGTAGAAATCAGGAAGCATCCCCAGGATTGAGGTTAATCAGAAGAGAACATAGGGCCGGGCATGGTGGCTCACGCCTGTGATCCCAGCACTTTGGGAGGCCTAGGTGGGTGGATCACTTGAGGTCAGGAGTTTGAGACCAGCCTGGCCAACATGGCAAGACCCCATCTCTACTAAAAAGACAAAAATTAGCCAGGCCTGGTGGTACGCACCTATAGTTCCAGCTACTTGGGAGGCTGAGGCTGAAGAATCACTTGAACCCAGGAGGCAAATGCTGCAGTGAGCCGAGATCACGCCACTGCACTCCAGCCTGTGTGACAGAGAGAGACTCTGTTTCAAAAAAAAAAGTGAACATGGCAGATTAGCATCCAAGATGGAGTCACTTTTGCTTCCACAAGGGGTTGCTCTATACTAGACACTTTACATAGAACCCTGGCAACAACCCTGTGACATAGATACTATTATTGCTCCCACTTTCTAATGGGAAACTGAAGGCCAGGCATGGTGGCTCACGCCTGTAATCCCAGCACTTTGGGAGGCTGAGGTGGGAAAATCTCTTGAACCCAGGAGTTCGAGGTTGCAGTGACCTAGGATCATGCCACTGCATTCCAGCCTGGCGACAGAATAAGACCTGGACTCAAAAGAAAAAAAATGAGAAAAATCTATGTTCTCCATGGAACGATGGTGCCATCTCTACGGTTCATGAAGTTATTATGCATACCTAGCTTTGTCCCTGGCACTCCGGTTTGTTTTTTGTTTGTTGTTTTTGAGACAGTCTTGTTTTGTGACCCAGGCTGGAGTACAGTGGTGCAATCTTGACTCAC